GTCAAGGTTAAGTGTGGAGGCAGCAAAGGAGAATATATCCACTTTTTCCTTCCGCCATCTCGGTTGTAGACCTAGTTATAATCCATAAGCTTCAAGTGCGTGCAAAAAGTGGAAAATTAGAAAACCTTTCCCGTTCCTGCCTGTTTAATTTCACAATGTTCACACTTCTTCTTTTACCAACTTCCATAGTCAGATGTGGCAGATAAAAAAATTAAAATTATAAAAAAAAAAATTAAAAAAATAAAAATAAAAAAATATAAAAAATATAAAAAAGGTTCAAATATAAAAGAAGTGAAAAAAATGAAAAAAATAAAAATTTAAGAAATATAAAAAAGTTTATTATTATGCTCTCGACTTCATTCATTTTTATACAGCTTATAACTAAGTGCCTTTAAAATGATTACTAAAACGTTTTTCACCGCAGTGTGGCTGGTTTATAGAGATATGCTGACAATGTTAAAAATTTCCATACTGCAGCATAAAAAGAGATAAAGGCTTACAGGACGACAAAGTGTTTATGAATACGTTACAACGGCGTCATTTTATGCGCGTACCGTTCTTAGCACTCACAGGCATTCGCATGCCTGTAATCAAATATAATATAAAAACACACATACGAGGTGTGATCAGAAAGTATCCGTTATTTTCAAATTTCGTGTTTTACTGAAACTGTATTAAGTTTTGTGTAAAAAATGAAATTAAATGAGCAAGGACATTTGTAATGTTGATTGTGGCGTTTGGCGAGTCTACTATGGGCATAGTTCAATTGTTCAATTGTTGTATAATCGGTTTAAGGAAGGCCGAGAATATGTCAATGACAATGTCTGTCCTGGTCGCCCGAGCACATCAACAGGCGACGAAAACAATGAATCAGTAAAGAAAATGATTTAGGATAATCGTCGAGTCATTGCCAGAAGTTCGTACGGGTCAATAAGGAATACAACCTAGAAGTTATGTGCTGCTTGCGCGAAGCAATTCGTCCGAAACGCACAGAATTGTGGAAAAAACAGTCATGAATTTTTTTCAAAAAACAAAACCATTGTCATGCCTGAACCATCGTATTCACCGACCCCCGCCGACTTTTACTTCTTTCCAAACTGAGGAGACCGATCAAAGGAAAGCGGTTTGCTACGATTGAGGAAATAAGAAAAATCTAAGCAGGAGCTATTGGGGATACCAAAAAACACGGTTCAGAAGTGTTTCGAGGATTGGAATATCTGAGGGGAATCACTTTGAAGGGGACAAAATAGTCATTGATGAATAAATAAATACTTTTTGAATAAAATAAAAATAAGCATTGCTTTCTGATCACACCTCGTATGTGTGTCCTACATATAAATGTCCATATTTATATTTGCATATTTTGATAGTGACGTGCCAGCATGACTATATGCTAGATGAACGGATATAAAGAGAATGTAAAAAAATGAATGTAGCAGACAGAGAAATCGAAATATAGTCTGCCAAATATATAAATAAAATACAATATTAAATTGAAATTGATGGTGTTCGTATAT